TCCGGTTAGGTTACTTTTATATAAATATATATTCTTTCCGTTTTATAATATAAGATGTTTTAACTAAAACACGCAGATTAAAAAATATCTACTTTTAAAAAATTTAACCAATCATGAAATAGACTACAAATATAAATAATCCTAAAATATTAAGTTAATATATAGTTTGCCTAAAAACTTAAAAACATCATATATTATAAAACAAATAATTTTCTTCCACAACATCTTGTATTATAAAACAGAAAGAGTATATGTTAACATGATTTTGTTTATAAATATAATATATATATATATATATATATATATATATATATATATATATATATTTATTATGTTAATGTCAACACATTTTAACGATTGTATTTAAGAGATTTTTGTGCAAGATGGATCCGATTGTCTTAATGGCAAATATTATGACGTTGAGTATTCGTGTTTTTGGACTACGGCATACTCCAAAACACTTGGTTCCAATAATTGTGTCTTTTACCGACAATTTTTTCTATTTAAACTTTCATGTCTTTTTAACTATATATATATATATATATATATATATATATATATATATATATTTAAAAAAGTGGTATAAATTTTCTTTTTTTTTGTTTGATATTTTTCATAGAAAGTTATATTTTTTGCTATTTAGCATTCATGTATATACTTTGTTATCTATATCATTATTATTTTTTTCTAAATAATTATCTATTTTGGTTCTTTGTTAAATTTTTCCGAAGAATGTCTCTTTTTAACATAATACAATTTAAAATATTACGTTTTTTATCGTAATATTTTGATGAATATATTTATATAGTTATATTTATAATAGTTTAGAAAATTGAAAATTGCATCTACTCTTTATAAATTTTTGTTTAACATTTTTTATTTATGATCGCATCTTTTCACCATAATTTTTTTTATAATAATACAAATCTTAAAAAAAAACTTTTGAGAGTTTACATCTCTTTATCATATTCTTTTGTAAAATATATCTTTATTTATTGTTAAAAAAAAATTGTTTTCGAACTAGTTGTCTCAATTCATTATGACATTTTGTTTGATATTTTTTCTTTAAAAATTTTTGAAATCTTTTCGCGCGAGGGGGGGGGGGGGAGGGGTGGTCAAAAGCAATTACATAGTTTTTTTACGGGATTTTTAAAAGTTAAAATAGTTTTTTTACGGGAATTTTAAAAGTTCTTATTTGAAAATCGATTCTCATCTCCCTCACCTATTTTTTTATTATTATTTTTTAAATTGTTGAAAACCTCTATAAAAACCTCTCAATGAACATGTTCTTAGAAACATATGGAATATTTATTATGTTAATGTTAAGCATAGTTAATTGCTAACAATGTGAGAGGCCATTCAACATATTTTATCGATTGAATTTATGAAGAAAAAAAATCAAATAATCCAGAAAGTTTTAAATTTTTGTATAAATTGGATCGGATTAGTCTTAATGGCAAATACTATGACGTTGAGTATTCGTGCTTTCGGACTACAGCAAAATGAAATCTCTACTTTCGGAGTAAATAGTTTGATAGGATTACTTTTGGCATCCTCTTGATAGAAAGATTAAGATAATAGTCTACACATCGGAAATGTCCGAAAAATAAACGTTGATTATTGACTATTCCAAGGAGCCAAGGGTCTTGGCGTCATCTATGAAAACGTTTCATCACGTATCTCATTCTAATTGATGAGCAAACAATCATTCCCAACAATAATACTAGTATCTCCTCCCATAACCCTATCAATCAATTTTTGTTTGTGTTTGACATCTCTTTATTGCTTGTATCAATTGTTACACAGAAAATAATACGAGTTATACAATGGCGTAAGATAATTGGGCAAAGGGACATGCAATTTAAGTGATTTTGACCTTTCAAATCAAAATTTCAATTGTCCCATTTATTGCCCGAAATTAAAAGCAACTAGATGATAAGGAAACCAAAAAAAAAAGTATTAAAGGCTCATGTACTTGTTGCTTTCCTTTATACCAAGAAGATTAATTATGGGCTTCGATAAATGTAAGAATTTCTATAAAAAAAAATGAAAGCTGAAAATGTGCAATGCTCGAGAAAAAGTAGGGGGGTTTTAGGAGAGGTGTAATCTACAAATTACATATTCATTTCTCATTTGTCAATTACCAATGACGTCAGAAAATATGTTACGTAAAAACAGTATTCAATGCTTTTTATAAACTTAAATTCAGTCCTTTTCATTAAATATGTTATCATTTCATGTTACTAAATGTAAGAACCGTGAATAGTCACGACTTTTATTAGGAGACTGTGACAAATGAACAAAGACAAGAGTAAAAAATCACATAAATTACTCTTATTATAGTATCTTATAGTTTATGGAACTTCGTTAAACAGATATACAGACAGACAGAAGAAACAAACCTCAAAATTTGCATTAATCCACCGCAGGTATTAATACCGTATTATCTTCTCTACTTAAGATTAGTCCGTTGTGGCGTAAAAAATTCAATTTTGGATTTCCAAAACGTGATTATAAAACTGTGATATAACTTGATAAATGATACACGGGCTTGGGGATTGGAATTAAACTGGGCCTTGTATGGTTCATCACTCATGGATTGAAACAAAAAATCGATATCTCACATTGATATGTCTATAATTTGCATGTTTTACGCATCCGTTTATCACCATTTTGAGTCTAGTTTCGTTCATCTTTCATAGCATTCATCATCATTTCGCATAATTTGCATGTTTAAGTGTGTCTAGCATTAGTCTTGCATGCATTTTGCATTCTGGAGTTGTTTCAGGTGTTTCGGAGCTATCGGTGTTCAGAAAGAGGGAAAACAGAGCTGAAAGTCACATTTGGACCCTTATACTCGATCACCAGTAGCAGAGAGGGAAGCAGTCAGCTCAGCAGACCATCAGGACCATTATACTCGATCACAGGGCAGTCCAGCCAGACTGTTCTACTCGATCACAGAGGAGGAGAGCAGTCCATCCTGCCAGTTGACTGTTCTACTCGATCGCAAGCTTGAAGAAGCGGTCCGTCCCGACAGTCTACCCACATACTCGATCACAAGAGAGAAGAAGCAGTCCAGACCACGCCACTACCCATTCTACTCGATCACCACCTCGACCCTCTGATCAATCCGCACTCAACCAGACAACCTGAGCAAAGGAAAGAGAAGAGGAGAGAAGGAACCACTGGATCGCAGCTTCGATTCACGCTCGACCACGAAGCCCACTTTGAGCCCATTTACTCGACCTCCACGGTCCATGGGCCTGTTAAGCGGACTCGAAGCCCACTTACCTATCTATGTCGTTTTTACTATAAATAAGTCTCTAAGGGTTTCGCCTGAGACATGATCGACTCATTATTCACGTTTTAGTCTCGAACCCTAGTATTTGTTTTAGTGGCCGCTTTTGCTTCTGCAACTTTGTATTTTCGTTTTCTTCTAAGTTATCCAGATTTCGTTTTCATTTCTTGTTCATTGCCTTTAATCTTTCAAGTTATGCAATCATCAATCGTTTCTGTGTCTTTAAGCATGTTGTCTGAGTAGTGACTAGAATTTCTGAGGATGGGATAGAGTAGATGTGAGACCCTTAGTCGATTCTGATGGTTAAGTGTAGAAATATAGAATCCCTTCTGGATTAGTTGTGTTTATTGCTTATTCCTTTCTGATCAACTGGAATTCGATCCCAGACATTCCAGCGCTCATGAGGCGTTTAATGGATTGTTGGATCTACTAATTCCAGTGATAATCGTCTCTATCCCAAGGGATTGGCCGTTTAGAGCGGTTATTGACTTTAACAGTCGGTTCTTATTGCCTGCATAGTTAGATTCCGTTAATGGGAATTAGTCTGGGCTAGCTTTGCTTGAGGATTTGTTGCACGGGAGTGAATAAGTCTGTTGTTGAACCTGTTGTCTAGGGATAGCTTCATTGAGGATTGTTAACCATCGGAATTGATTATGGAGTCCACACTATTCGATTACCCCATCCTTAGGAGTTTCTTATCCAATTGATTTCTCTGTTTATTTACCTTCTGCATTCACCTTCTCTGTTACTTGTTATTGAATTTTGATAACTGTCTGTTTTCGGACCCTTTTACTCTATCACATCCTCCTTCTGGCAGTGAGCCTTGTGATAGAGTATAGCAGTCCATTTCTGCAAATTTACTGTTTTCTGCAATCAATCACTAGGACTGTTAGAACAACAACCAATTCCTGCTTGGCTTGACTTAGTGCTTTCTGATCATATCTCATTTGTTTGCATCACACCTGATTGGATTGACACCTAAAATACTACAACGATAGGATAGTGTTTTAGGATTAATTGATCGTAAAAACCTATTATCAATTTGGCGCCGTTGCCATTTGGGTGTTTGTTTGCTATATTTGAGATCATTAGAAACGTTAAGATCAAGTTCGTTTTTTTTTACAAGGTTACTAACGCTGTGTCTTTCTCTTTGTTTGTGTGTTTCAGGTACTATCTCTGATTACTCTGCTCAAGCTGAGTTGATACCTGTTGCATGCATACTAGATCAAAAGGACATCAGAACCTGCTTTTCAACGAGAACATCGACCGTATTGCTCGTGAGTTAAGAGAACAGACAGGCACAGACGTTATGGCCGACGATCAGAACCCAGATTTGCCAAACAACATTGGTGCAGGCGATGCTCCACGCAATGACAATCAGCGCAATGGCATTGTACCTCCACCAGTGCAGAACAACAACTTCGAGATCAAGAGTGGTCTCATTGCCATGGTTCAGGGCAACAAGTTTCACGGCCTCCCCATGGAGGATCCACTCGATCATCTGGACGAGTTTGATAGGCTCTGCAGCCTAACTAAGATCAATGGAGTCAGTGAGGATGGCTTCAAGTTGCGTTTATTTCCATTTTCTCTTGGAGACAAAGCCCACCAGTGGGAAAAATCACTTCCTCAAGGCTCCATCACCTCCTGGAATGACTGCAAGAAAGCCTTCCTGACTAAATTCTTCTCCAACTCCAGGACTGCAAGACTCCGGAATGAGATTTCTGGCTTCACTCAGAAGAATGCTGAGACTTTCTGTGAAGCATGGGAGCGTTTAAGAGGATATCAGAATCAATGTCCTCACCACGGTTTCTCTAAAGCCTCACTCCTGAGCACTCTCTACAGAGGAGTTCTCCCTAAGATCCGGATGCTCCTGGATACAGCATCCAACGGGAATTTCCTGAACAAGGAAGTTGAAGAAGGATGGGAGCTGGTAGAGAATTTAGCTCAGTCTGATGGAAACTACAATGAAGATTATGACAGAACCATCAGAGGAAGTTCAGACTTAGAGGAGAAGCACCGCAAGGACATGAAGGCCATGAATGACAAGCTGGACAAGCTACTCCTTGTGCAACAGAAGCAAGTCCATTTTCTCTGTGAAGATGAGACGTTCCAAGTCCAGGATGGGGAGACTCTCCAGTCAGAAGAAGTAAGCTATGTGCAAAACCAAGGAGGCTACAACAAAGGCTACAACTACTATAAGCAGAACAATCCCAATCTGTCTTACAGGAGTGCAAATGTTGCAAACCCGCAGGATCAAGTCTACCCTCCACAACAGCAGACCCAACCCAAACCATTCGTCCCATACAACCAAAGTCAAGGGTTTGTTCCTAAGCAACAGTTTCAGGGAGGTTATCAAACACAGCATCCACCACCAGGATTTGTACCACAGCAACAACAAACCTCTAGCACTCCTGACTCAGACCTGAAGCAAATGCTCCAACAGCTTCTTCAAGGACAAGCAACAGGCTCAATGGAGATCGCTAAGAAGCTGGCCGAGATGAACAACAAGATAGACTGCAGTTATAACGATCTCAACATCAAGGTAGAGGCACTGACTTCAAAGGTCAGATACATGGAAGGCCAAACTGCATCAACCTCCGCTCCCAAGGTTACGGGACTTTCAGGAAAATCAATCCGGAATCCACAGGAGTATGCTCATGCTATCACGCTCAGAAGCGGTAAAGCATTACCCCCGAGAGAAGGTCTAAAACAAAACACTGAGGACAGTGTGGAACAAGATGGGGAGGATTTCTGTCAGAATGAAGATTCAGCTGACAAGGTAACAAAGGAGCCCATACTCGATCCACCTACTCGATCACCAGTGCCCATACTCGATCCATCTACTCGATCACCAGTTCCTGCAGCATCTGAATCTGTTGAAAAACCAGCTGCTACCAAAACCAAGGAAAACGTCTTCGTTCCCCCACCCTACAAGCCTCCACTCCCATTTCCCGGTCGGTTTAAGAAGGTTCTGATACAGAAGTACAAGACTCTCCTGGAAAAACAACTCAAAGATCTTGAAGTCACTATGCCTCTTGTTGACTGTCTCGCGCTGATACCAGACTCCCATAAATACGTGAAGGATATGATTACTGAGAGAATCAGAGAAGTCCAAGGAATGGTGGTGTTAAGTCACGAGTGTAGTGCAATCATCCAGAAGATGATCATACCCAAGAAATTGGGAGATCCTGGTTCTTTTACTCTGCCTTGCACTCTAGGTCCTTTAGCCTTCAGCAAATGCCTCTGTGATCTAGGTGCATCTGTGAGTCTCATGCCCCTCTCTGTGGCAAGGAGACTTGGTTTCAGCAAGTACAAATCCTGCAACATATCCTTGATTCTGGCTGACAGGTCCATCCGAATACCTCACGGTCTGCTAGAAGACTTACCAGTCATGATAGGCAGAGTCGAAGTGCCGACAGACTTCGTGGTTTTGGAGATGGATGAAGAGCCCAAGGACCCTCTAATATTTGGAAGGCCATTTTTAGCTACAGCTGGAGCTATAATTGACGTCAAGAAGGGGAAGATCGATCTTAACCTTGGAAAAGATCTCAAGATAACCTTTGATATCACCAGCACCATGAAGAGCCTACAATTGAAGGAAAGGTTTTCTGGATTGAAGAGATGGATATGATAGCTGACGAATTACTAGAAGAACTAGTAGAAGAAGACCATCTACAGAGTGCTCTGACAAGGGATAACAAGGAAGGGGACTTACACATAGAGACTTTGGGGTACCAGAAGCTGTTAGACATGTGTAAAGAAGCTGAGAATCCAGAGGAGTATGAAGATTTGGTTGGAAAGGTGAAGAAGGAGGATATACTCGATCACATCACTCGTCAGACAGTACATCCAGTCTACTCGACCGAGATACTCGATCACGTCCTTCCCTCTGAGGAATCTGTCATAGCATCTGGTGACTGGTCTGAACTCAAGGCACCCAAAGTGGACCTGAAACCGCTGCCGAAAGGGCTAAGGTACGCTTTCCTTGGACAGAACTCTACTTACCCTGTAATTGTCAGTGATGAGTTGAACACTGATCAAGTCAATCTGCTGTTAACTGAATTGAGAAAATATAGGAGAGCTATAGGATATTCACTAGATGATATCAAGGGGATCTCGCCCAATCTATGTACCCATAGAATTCATTTAGAAAACGAGTCCTACTCTAGCATTGAACCTCAGAGAAGATTAAATCCAAACCTGAAAGAAGTGGTAAAGAAGGAGATACTTAAACTATTAGACGCGGGTATAATCTATCCTATATCTGATAGCACTTGGGTATCTCCAGTCCATTGTGTTCCCAAAAAAGGAGGTATGACAGTCATTAAAAATTCTAAAGACGAACTAATACCCACTAGGACCATAACAGGACATAGGATGTGTATCGACTATAGGAAGCTTAATGCAGCCTCTAGGAAAGACCATTTCCCACTACCTTTTATTGACCAAATGCTAGAGAGATTAGCAAACCACCCTTACTATTGTTTTCTAGATGGTTACAGCGGATTCTTTCAAATCCCTATCCACCCAAACGATCAAGAGAAAACCACCTTCACATGTCCTTACGGGACCTTTGCTTACAAGCGAATGCCTTTTGGGCTTTGCAACGCACCTGCAACTTTTCAGCGGTGTATGACTTCTATTTTCTCCGATTTGATAGAGGAGACGGTTGAGGTGTTCATGGATGATTTTTCCGTGTATGGCTCTTCCTTCTCCTCCTATTTGTTAAATTTGTGCAGGGTGCTCAAAAGATGCGAGGAGACAAACCTAGTGCTGAACTGGGAGAAATGCCACTTCATGGTCAGATAAGGCATCGTTTTGGGACACAAGATTTCAGAGAGAGGAATAGAGGTTGATAAGGCTAAAGTTGATGTGATGATGCAGTTGCAACCACCAAAAACTGTCAAAGACATCAGGAGTTTTCTCGGGCATGCAGGGTTTTACAGAAGATTCATCAAGGATTTCTCCAAGTTGGCCAGACCGCTCACCAGATTATTGTGCAAGGAAACAGAGTTCACATTTGATGAAGAATGTCTGACGGCTTTTAAGTTGATCAAGGAAGCTTTGGTTACTGCTCCAATAGTCCAAGCTCCGAACTGGGACTACCCGTTTGAAATCATGTGTGATGCTTCAGACTATGCAGTAGGAGCAGTTTTGGGCCAGAAGATTGACAAGAAGCTGCATGTGATCTACTACGCAAGTAGGATGATGGATGATGCACAAGTGAGGTATGCCACCACTGAGAAGGAACTGTTGGCTGTGGTATTCGCATTCGAAAAATTTAGGAGCTACCTGGTAGGATCTAAAGTAACAGTCTACACTGATCATGCGGCCCTGAGGCATATCTATGCGAAGAAGGATACCAAGCCTAGGCTGTTGAGATGGATCTTACTGCTTCAAGAGTTTGACATGGAGATAGTAGATAAGAAGGGGATTGAGAACGGTGTAGCGGATCATCTGTCTAGAATGAGAATTGAAGACGAGGTCCCTATTGATGACTCTATGCCAGAAGAACAGCTAATGGCATTCAGACAGCTGAACGAAAGCTCTCAAACCCTAAAATCACTCGTTCAAGTATGTGCAATGAAAGATAAGCTTCCGTGGTATGCTGATTACGTCAACTACTTGGTGAGTGGTGAAGAACCTCCGAATCTGTCAAGTTATGAAAAGAAGAAGTTCTTCAAGGACATTCACCATTTCTACTGGGATGAGCCTTATCTATACACTCTCTGCAAGGATAAGATCTACAGGCGATGCGTCTCAGAAGATGAAGCTGAAGGTATCCTGCTGCATTGTCATGGCTCCGCCTATGGTGGCCACTTTGCAACATTCAAGACAGTATCAAAAATCCTTCAAGCAGGTTTTTGGTGGCCAACAATGTTCAGAGATGCCCAGCAGTTCATTTCAAGATGTGACTCATGCCAGAGGAAGGGAAACATCAGTAGGAGAAATGAAATGCCACAAAATCCTATATTAGAGGTAGAAATCTTTGACGTCTCGGGAATCGACTTTATGGGACCATTCCCTTCTTCCTATGGGAACAAATACATTTTAGTGGCAGTAGACTACGTGTCCAAGTGGGTTGAGGCCATTGCAAGTCCCACGAATGATTCAAGGGTGGTTCTGAAGATGTTTAAAACCATAATCTTCCCAAGATTTGGTATACCAAGGGTTGTCATCAGTGATGGAGGTACACACTTCATCAACAAAGTCTTTGAGAATTTACTAAAAAAGCACGGAGTGAAGCATAAGGTAGCCACTCCTTATCATCCACAGACAAGCGGGCAGGTAGAAATCTCCAACAGGGAGATAAAAGCAATTCTAGAGAAGACTGTTGGGATTACAAGGAAAGATTGGTCTGCAAAGCTCGATGACGCGCTATGGGCTTACAGAACAGCTTTCAAGACCCCTATCGGCACAACTCCTTTCAACCTTCTCTATGGAAAATTCTGTCACCTACCTGTTGAGCTCGAGTATAAAGCTATGTGGGCAGTTAAACTCCTGAACTTTGATATTAAGACCGCTGAGGAGAAGCGGTTAATCCAACTGAATGATCTCAATGAGATTCGCTTAGAAGCTTATGAGAGCTCCAAAATCTACAAGGAGAGAACTAAGTCTTTCCATGACAAGAAGATAATCTCGAGGGATTTTATGGTTGGTGATCAGGTGTTGCTGTTCAACTCCCGCCTGAGACTCTTTCCAGGCAAGCTCAAGTCTAGATGGTCTGGTCCTTTCCGTGTCACTGCAGTCCGACCTTATGGTGCTATCACTCTAGCTGGAAAGGATGGAGATTTTACAGTCAATGGCCA